TATTTGTCTGAAAAGTTTAAACATTTACAATATAAAGGCACAACATCCAAAGAACTGTCTTAAAGGACAACCAGACTCCATAACATTCCACCTAGAAGCACTGGAAATAGACATTTTGGATCTTTACAATCTTTACGTAATCACACACAAACAAAGTTCACTTTGTGTATGATTATGTAAAGATTGCTCATCAAAGTTATGGTAATAATTTCCTATCCATTAAAGAAACAATAACAACTTGGCTTTCATGCAGAATAGTGTCTCCTGGTGCTAAGTGATAAAAGAAAGTGATCTCACTAGATTTTCACTTCTGAAGAAAAATAGATGTGATAGTTGCACTGTTCCAATTGCTAGAAACTTGTTGAATAACTCATTAAAATCCAGTCTTTTGTGTTGAATTAATTCACAAACATTCTAAATTCATCTATGCAAAGAGGATTGAAGATCCTCTTAGTAATGTAATTAACAGTCAATGAAAATGATCCCAGATTATTCTGTTCTTTATGTTGGACGTTGGTTATATCATTCATTGCATCAATCTGCATTTGTGCAAAAATACATGATTAATCCAATCCTAAAACCAATTTGCAAATTCAAAGCCAGTATGTATAACACAAGGTTAGAATCACAATGGACAAACAAGAATCACAAAAGAAAGCCAATTAAAGTGATAAGTGTCCTTCCAGAGTATGGTGTGACCAGGTCATTATGGATCCTGATGCAACTTTAATTCAATCCAACAAGCAACAGACGCCTCTGAATATAACTTTATAAACCTTTGTTAATATTATATGGTTAAATTAAACACTATGTTATACAGAAATGTTAACAATGAATTCATTCATATTCCTGAACTGCAAAGCCTGCAATTCTTGTTTACAACAATAACTTGCATTTATATAGCGCCCCTCACGAAAGATGGGGTCTCGGAGCGCTTAACAGTGGCGGAGCCTGATGCCGAGCCAGGGGAAGGTGACTAGCAGGCCAAAGAGAAAGGTCTTCAGGTGTGACCTGAAAACGGGAAGTGGGGGCAAGGTAAAGGGATTGAGGGAGAGAGTTCTACAGCTTTGGGGCATAATGGCTGAAAACACGGCCAGTGATGGTGGGTCCGGAGGACAAGGAGTCGAGTCAAACGGAGGCAGTGGGTAGTAGTGTAGGGAGAGAGCAGATTGGAGAGATAGGGGAGTGTCAGGTCGTGAAGAGATTTCAATACAAGAGTGAGGATCTTGAAATCGAGCCGCTGGAGTGAGGGAGCCAATGGAGTTTGGCAAGGACTGGGATAATGGAGGTACGGAGTTTAGTGCGGGTGAGAATGCAGGCGGCGGAGTTTTGAATTAGTTGTAATTTTTGATTAGTGGAGCAGGGGAGACCAGTGAGGAAGGTGTTTGAGTAGTCGAGACAGGAGGTGACAAACGTGCAGACGAGGGTTCGGCAGCTTTTGGAGTGAGGTACGGATGGAGGTGGGCAATGTGTCGGAGGTGGAGGAAAGCAGCCCCGGCTTGAGATTGGATGTGGGGTACAGAGTATAGCTGGGGGTCGAACCTGATGCCTAAATTGTTCACGGGTTCAGTGAGTCTTAGAGAGAGATCGGGTAGGGTGAGGAGGTCTGAACCGTAGGAGTGAAAACGTGGACGGGAGCCAAAGTATGGCTTCCGTCTTGTCATCGTTCAGCTGCAAGAAGTTTGCATTTATCCAGGCCCTGAAGTCTGTCAGGCAAGCTGACAGAACATCAGCGGACTGGGAGTTGCAGCTGAAGGAAGAGAAGTAGATTTGTGTGTCACCCGCATAAATGTGGAAGTTGTCTGTGGATGACATCACCGAGGGGGAGCATATAGATAAGAAAAAAAAGGGGGCCAAGGATGGAACCTTGGGGTACCCCGCAGGTGACTGGGAGGGGGCGAGAGGAAAAAAACATTGGCCGAGATGAAGTGCTGGCATTTGGTTAAGTATGACTCGAACCATGCGAGTACAATAGGAGAGGTCGTGAAGGAGAATGGCGTGGTTGACAGCGTCAAACATAGTGGAGAGGTCCAGGAGGATGAGGAGACAGAGGAAGTCCTAGTCACAGAGAGAGAGGACATAATTTGTTACTTTGATGTGGCAGTCTGGGTGGCTGCTCTGGGACGACCATCAATGCATGCCATGATGAGCACAGCGGAGGATGCCCAGACTGGAGCAGAGGGAGGCGGTGGAAGAGTCAAGGAGAGAGAGAAGGTGAAGAGGGCAGTGGGGGATAAGGACAAAGGTCGAGTAGCAAAAATGGGGGCACTTGGGGGTGGAGGGGGTTGGCTCGGATCGGGGTCGGCAGCCAAGATGCACACGCCAAGACCTGGAGTGAATAACCAGAGATTCATGGAGGGGGCTAGAGGAGGCAGCTGTTTAGCAGCTCTTCAGTACAATGAATTACTTCAGATCTGCAAGGTTGCCAATCTGAACCATTATGGGTTATGAATAAAAACAGATCTCACACATATTATTCTTGTACAGTGCCCAGTTTGAACGCCACTAAAAAGGCAACCACAAACAACCGTTGAAAACTCCGCAAAGGACGACTGACCATACTTTTGCATCAGGATTTTCATCTTGACGTTATATATATATATATATTCATGATGTACAAGTTTGCAGCACAATCAAGGAAAAGCGTGAACATGCTGAAAATATATAGCCACTTATGAGAACATGTCACTAAAGAAAAATATGCAACCACTTCAAAATGGTCAACATTCGTACAGTATTTTGAACAAACATGATCACTGTAAGGCAAATAGGTTTCTTAAAAATGTGAAAGAAAATATTTCCTATCCTCAAAGCATGTGAAACTACTGAAAAACAGCTCCTGTAGTATAAGGCAATGGAATCCATGTTAAGGTTGCTTTAACATATTTTAGAGACATTCGGGCTGGAGAATATAGATTTTCAAAACCTCTTGGAGGTTTTCAATCCATAACACACAATTATTTGTTTCCCTTTTATACTGTTAGCCATTATTAGTAACATTTTATGTTTGGTGCTGGTAAAAGTAATGACTTTTATTTTAATTTAGTTCAGCAAGCAAAGCTAAGAGCCTCTTTGGATTTTACAAGTACTGTACTAAACACCCACACACATACATATAGCTCTCTTTGAAATGACATGAGTCACTTGTTCTTGAAGAAAATTGAGCATTATGTCAAAGATACATAAAATACACATCGTCTTGAGTGTCTCAAACGAAAAGAAGGTTGCTTTCTGTGCTTTGTAATGTCTAACATACATACAGATACCCAGAAAACTTTCCACAGTAATAATACTGTCATAACATCTTCCAAAAATGTTAATCATAGGAACAGAAGGAGGCAATTTAGCCCATCTGGCAATGCACTCACGCATTTCATGCTGAGTTGTGTTGCCCACCGGGAAGCTCGCAGGGAGCTCTTGGTACCTATCATCCACATAGTGAGGGCTCGAACCCATGCTTGTCGAATGTCGAATGACCATCTAGTGACTATCCTCCTTGGGGGAGAGATAAGCAGGATTTCCTTGAAGCTGAACTGTCTCCAAGGTGACATGTTTATCAACGGATTGTCAGAATCGAGCCAGCCCTCTGTGGCGGTCTCGGTATTCCAGTTCTGAGCGAGGTGTGTCCCCAGTATTTCAGGGTGTTGCTGATGACTGCACAACCAGCCTGGCTCATCGGTAGGTATTGGAAGGTAAACCAGTCACTGGGGGGCAGGGAGTCATCCCACTCAGCTCTTGTTAACCCTGCAAGCCCAATCCCTAAAGGGAAGGGTGGACCTTGCTGTACAAGCAGCAAGAAAGCTTGCTAAACAGTAGTATCAATGGCAAGCTATGCTGTTTTAGCTGGTTAGACTCCAGGAGCACCCCAACGTAAACTCTAGGGTCCCCAAGCCTTGGCTCTTGCCAACCTGTGCCTAATACTTTCCAGAATTAAGTAAGCAAGATGCATCCCTCCAGGGAGAGAGTGCACATTCCAACAATCTATCTCTGGGATTTCCATGTGTAGGTGGGATGCATGGAATTCTCAGTTTGGTTTGGGTACTCTTGAGCACGGTGATGGGTTTCTGCCTGTGTCAGACACCTGGCTGACCCCCCAAAAATCTATTCCACCAGTTTATTGAAATCATGGCGGATCTTTTAATTCCATTGCTTGCTTTTTCTCGACACCCCTGACTACCTTAACTTCCCAAGTATCTACTTACCTCCCTTTAAAACAACCCAATTGATTTTGGCACCCTGGCTTTCTAGGGGCTTGGGCAATGCATTCCAAATTTTCACAATCATAAAAATAATCATGCACAAACACCAGCAAACATTTTTTAACCATGTTAGGCATTGTGCTATGATGTTTTGTTTGTTATCAAAATTAAGCAGTATTTTTTTTCTTTCAGCTCAGAGGAAATGTTTTAAGTGAATTTATTCTGCCAATAGGTAGTTTAATGTTTCATTAAAACTTTGCAGGGAAATAGGGAAATGGAATTGCCTGGCACCGCATTATTTTTTCCAAATGTTGTCATATATCATATATACACCAGAACCTCAGCTGAACAGCTATTTTCTAGTATACTATAATGAGGATATCACTATTTATATAAATAATAGAAGTGCTGGAACCACACAAGGGCTCCAGATTCCACTTCACATATATTAGCAGTGAACATGAAACAAATCTGTAAGGATGAGTTACTTGGAAATTGAAGTGCTATTAAAGTGATATTTCTCCCTTATTGTTTACGTCTTCCTGAGTCACATTCTATTCGATGATCAAGCGGGGACACCAGCCTCCTAAAGCTCTATGAACGCTGCTGTGTAATTTGTTGCTGGCAGGTGAATAAGAGGGCCACGGATTAATTTAACCCTTGGAATTCCACCCTTTCAGTGGGAAAATGACAGCATTTATTTGGAACCATCCTCTGATGTTCATAACTGACATCGCTAAAAGTGTAAGGTGTTTTATTAACACTTACAAATACTTTGCAATTTAAAAAACATACTTTTTTTATGTTATACTAAATACAGTATGCTTTAGTAATGTGAATCATTCCAAAACACACTGAATTGAGTTTGCTGATAACTGCTCTTTTCTGTTAAATCTCCTGAAATAGGGCAAATGTTTTCAACCACGGTATATCAAGAAACCAATCAGAAGCAGCCTCCTGTAACATTCAAATGAAAATTATATGGTCCTCAAATTGACTTTTTCATGAGTCATTTTGTCTATAAAGCACAAGGTTGATCAATGGATAAGGGATCAGTCCTTACTTACAATTGATAGCAGGTGCCAGATGGAATAATGAGCACAGCCTTTCTCTGAAGCACGGATAGCTACACCCTAAAATTAATAGGACATCTCAAGCAATCTGTGTTGCTTGTTTCAGAGAGCTCTTGGATATATCTGTCTGCATGGTTGACATGGCGATCGCCTCATAGTCTTCCTCCCTGCGACTGCATTTGCAGTAACGGAGGATAACATGCAAGTCCCTCTGAAAGTTTTTATTCAGGAATCCATAAAAGACGGGGTTCACGCAGGTTGAGAGCATCGCTGTCAAGTGGCATATGGAGAAAATCAGATTATGATGACAATTCGTGATGGCTTCATGCTTCCAGTCAAAAACCGCGTTGAAGATGTTTAGGGGCAGCCAGCAGATTGCAAACGCCACCACAATAGAAATCAACATAATGGTAATTCTTCGGTTCTCATCTGCCCGTGACTTGTTCTCCCTCATCTTGTCCATCATGTCATTTCTCCTTTTGAGGCGTATATATATCTTTCAAAGACAAAACAAAGCAATTTAATCTGGTTAACATGCAACATCTAAGTCTAAGGCCATGTTGTATTACTACTTCCAGAATTCCTCCAATAAAAATCATTCTGTCAATTTCTCAAACACAAAAGTTTCAGCATGGCTCAGATATTAGCGCTCTTGTCTCTGGATGAGAAGCTTGTGGGTTTAAACCGCATGTTAGGACTTAAGCTTGTAGTCTAGGCTGATACTCCAATGCAAATCTTAAGGGTTTGTCAGGGGTTCTGTGGATGAAACATAAAGGTCCTGTCTGCCTGGTCAGGTGGATGTTAACGATCCAAGTCATTATTTGAAGAGAATGGAGTTTCTTACAATCAACAATCCACCAGAAAAGAATTTGTCGTTCACTTCATGGCCATTTTTGGTACATTGCTATGTGCAGATTGGGCGCACCTATAAATATACAGTCACTGCATTCCCCGTGAAGCACTTTGAAACATTTCAATACTGTATTCATTCTTTGAAATTCAAGGATTATTGTATAAGGTCATCATTATGGAGTCATTGTGGAGTTCCTGTAGCTCAGTGGTTAGAGCACTCGCTTTGCAAGTGAGAGACCTGAGTTCAATTCCAGGCAGGGCGAAACCTTGGGCAAGTTTCTTCACTCCACACGCCTAATAATAATCCCTCCAAAACCCAAAACAATAATAAATTGGTCATTTTCATTCTACGACTGTTTGTGGGACATTGCTGTGCGCAATTGGCTGCCGCGTTCGCCCACAAATATACAGTCAATTCACTTTACAGTGTGTTCTGTGAAGCGCTTTGGGATGTCCTCCTGATGTGAAAAACGCTATATCAAATGCAAGGATTATTATTATTATTATTATCATTGAGAAAATTAATCTTACACTTCAATACTCTTGGAAAAGTGAGATGATATTTCCCTTTAACGCCCTACTGTAGTGTTTCCAAATATATATATACATTTGGGACCACTTTTGCTCCCTAACTTCCTTAGTCCCATTGTTACACCATTCCACAACAATCAGTTATATTTTCCAGTGAAGATCTAAATTGTACATTGTTGAGAAACGCTATACCAACCCTTAAAAAACAGAATGTCTTGGTTCTAATTATTTATTGTTGAAAAATCTAAGTGATCGGCTGATGAAAATCTAAGTGAACATACATTACCAAGATTCATAAAGTAGGAAAGAAATTGAATTAAATCAAGTAGTAATGAGATGGTAGGGCAATTTGTGAGATTTAAAAAGAAGGATTTTTACACTTGAAACGATGCAGGTACCCAGATGTCTCTCATTATTTTAACAATGGAACTTCACTTCCCGTTGAAACCAATTAGAAGCCAATCTCATCGCTACCTTTTATAAAATAAGATTGTGATCAAAAGAAGACACCTTCTGAAATCATCTGAAATATGTGTCCAAGTGAAGTTCCATTGTTAAAATTGGGATTAACATCACAAAAGGAATGCAAGATTGAAGGACTGCTTACGTAATCTTGAGGTTATGGGAAAGAATGAGTGGGGTAGGAGTCAATGCAATGAGTCGTTTTCAGTATAGTGAGGATGCAGAAAAAGGAAGAACATTTAGTTAGGATTGTGTACTTAAAGCTTGGATGAAACAAGTGAAAACAGATCAGAGAAGCACTAATAGAGTAAAACAGAGAAACATAAAGGTTGCAACAGAGGGAGGTTCACAAAAACATAAAAGGTTCCAACCTTGTTATTGTAGTTAGCAAAGGCACAATATGTGAAAAGAGAGGGAAATATTTGAAGCTAGGAGGAAACTAATGATTTGACAATTTGCAATGCTGCTTGTACTAGATAGGCTTCTTTTGTGAGTGAAGAAATTTCAAAGCATTCAGGCTACAAAGATAGTTACTGTGTCGGACTCTATTTTGTAATGAGCTGGTCAATGGTACAGTGTTTAAACATTTATTAATAAATAAAGCATGAGATTAATAATTCTTGCATTTGAAATAACGTTATTGAAACATCTCAAATCGCTTATCAGGATTTGCTGTAAAATGTAAGGAATGTATTTTTGTAGATGACCACATCTGCCTTGTGATTTAGATTTCAAATCTCGATCTTAATAACAATGAGGAAGACTGAAATTACAGTGAAATATTACCATTTCAACTATTAAAATGTTTCCAAGCTCTGATGAGTAATGTCAAACTGAACAGCTTTTAATGTTCTTCATTTCATGATCATTCTTAGTTATTTTGCAGAATCCTGCTGTGAGCCTGAGACATATTGAGCAAGCTCAGTCAAGCAGAAAAGTATAACACTTAATAAGAGTAAAATCATTTGTGTGCATGTTTTTTTAAAAATTAAATTAAATCAAAGCAATGAGAGACTCCACTACAATAACTACACCAATTTAATTAGGATCACTGAATGAATGACTGCACCCTGAAAAGTGAGTTCCTTAATAGTTCCTGCAGTTTGGTACAGTTTATTTTAAAAGTCTACAAACAGTGTACAAAAGAGGCTAAGTTTCCAGCCCATAATCCCTTTGCCTTGCTCCCTCCCTTGCCTCCTTCAAGGCACGACACAAGACCCTCCTTTTTGACTGCGCCTTCAGCTGCCCTCCTACCTCCCTGCTCTCCCTCATCCCAACCTTGCCCCCACCCCTCCCCATGCTCGGGTCCTGATCCCCGACTGTTCGTCCTCTCAACGTGAAAGGTGCCTTACAAATGTAATTTTGTTGTTGTAAGTTTAGTGTGTCCATACCAGTCCTTCCCAATGCAAATCATTTATGAATTAAAGCAAATGCTTGAAGTTGTTGACTGCTGTTATGTAATACTGTTATATTAAAACATAATTTCTGAGCACCAGCACGTTAATGTTCTGTGCTGTAGATTGAGGATAGCCACAGGCCTGAGCACTGCTCTGATAACTTTTCAATCTGAGGATGTAGCACTTGCCTTGGGTGGAAGAAAGATTGAGGATCCAATAGGGGAAGAGTTATGCCTGGCTAATCTTTAGCACCTCCTGGTCAGTGATGGTTGTTTGTGTGACGTTGCTGGCACAACTGACTGCCATGTTGTCTGCGTAACATACTTCTGTTTATTTAATGTTTATTTATTTCCAGATCATCACCTTTTGATTGAGTTATTAATGAAAGCCCCATCTGCCTTGTGATTTAGACAGACGTGAAGACCACTCCCCCCCTCCATGATTTAAAACAAAGTGATCCCTGTTATCTTGGTATACATTTTCTTCTCATCCAAATTCACTCCCAAAACTGGAATTCATTTGGCCTCTCATCTCATTGTTTGTAAGTTTGTCAGTGGCGCAAATTGGCTGCTGTCTGTGTGTGTCTCCATAACAACATTCACATTATTTCTAATTAATTTCATTTGGTAAAGCCCCTTGAGTCATTCCTTCCACATGAAAGGCAGTACTGCATATGAATGCAAGTTGTTAGTTGCAGGGGCATGACCAGTAGCCTTGAAGTAATCTGTGTGCTTGGCTGATAAAGAATAGGGGAGAAAACAGAGCAAAGTAAAAGGGAGGAGAGAAAGCCTACAATTTCACTCTCTCTAGTGCAATCTTTCTTATCTTTATTTTATCAATATTACTTTGGCCATTGCTCTGCTGAAGTTTCTTCAGTTGTTCCGACAGACCCATGGCAAGTCTGCTCTGATTCTATTGAGACATTCCATTAAGATATACTGCAAATTAGAACCAAATGGGATATGTTATATCATCCAGCTAAGCTATTGCTAGGCAATCTTTTTGTTGCTTATTTGTAGTGAGGTTTCCCATTTTGAAAATATTGATATTATAATAATAATAATAATAATAATAATAATCCTTGCATTTGATATAGCGCTTTTCACGTCGGGAGGACGTCCCAAAGCGCTTCACAGAATAGACTGTAAAGTGAATTGACTGTATATTTGTTGGCGAACGCGGCAGCCAATTGCGCACAGCAATGTCCCACAAACAGTCGTAGATTGAAAATGACCAATTTATTATTGTTTTTGTTTTGGAGGGATTATTATTAGGCGTGTGGAGTAAGGAAACTTGCCCAAGGTTTCGCCCTGCCTGGAATTGAACTCAGGTCTCTCACTTGCAAAGCGAGTGCTCTAACCACTGAGCTACAGCTCCATATTTGTAGCTACACTGGAGCCCAAACACATTGGGCCATCTACTTGGACAACCACCTCAGACAAAAAAAAAGTTAACATTATATAATCGTAAATAGCCCACTGTCATGATATTTCATGTTTTCACATGGTTACAAAGACATTGTGGTATTTGCTAGAGTGAAAACATAGCAAGGAAATTTTGGTATCATAATACACTTGGGCTGGTTGACACAGTAGCTTAGTATTGCAGCTTTCAAGGGTATCATTATTTGTACACTGCAAATACCAGGGTCTATTAGGTTTTATTATGACACAAATGTCAGTGGGCTTTTGTTATGTTTTTCCTTCTCATACCATTCACAGCCGATTGAACTGTTGGACATGATAGCCAGTTGCACAAAGTATTCTAGTCCAAGTTCACAACGAATGTCCATACAAAGTGAATGAACCAACTCAGATCAAATTAACTCTTCCTTATTCACTGCAGTGTAAAATATTATGGTTAAGAGTTCCTATATAAAATCAAATTATATTTCAGATAGAATGTCTGCTTTTAGTAATTCAGGATACTTTCACATCAAGAATATCCATCTTTGATGTTCACATGATTGTTCACAGTCCTTTTCCAATGATAATATTAATCCTTGCATTTGATACATTTTTCACATCAAGCAGATATCTTAAAGAGCTTCATAGAATTTACTGTAAATTTTATGACTGTGTATTCTGTAGACAAAAACGGCAGTCAATTTGCACACAACAACCACAACAAATTACATTTGTATAGCGCCTTTCACAACAGGAGGACATCCCAAGGTGCTGGACAGTCAGAGAACCGCACCCGGGCTTTTCAAAGAGCCGACACAGACACGATGAGCCAAATGGAGTAATACACTCCTACTCCCAACCTTCCCTTGGTTGGGAGTAGGAGGGGTGGAGGGCAGGGAGGACAGGAGGGTAACCAAAGGCATGATCGAAGAGGAGGGTTTTGAGGCGGAAGGACTGTGGGAAAGGGTTCTACACAGTCAAGTTCCACAAAAGGCCATGAAGTGAATGATATTTTACCTGGGAGATTGCTGGCCTGGACATCATGACAAACTCCCTTTTCTTTTTGATTAATGCTTTTAGAGTCAAATTGATTAAACTTCAGCGGTACCCTCATGTACACCATGGTGTCCCTAAGTAATAGCTCTTGCCAGCTTGTGCCTAATTCTCTCTAGAATTAGATAAGCAGGATGGGGCCCTTTGGAGAGAGAATTTGTATATCATTCCAGCCAGACAAGGGGATGGCACATGGAAATGGCACACATGATGCATGGAATTCTCAATCTGGTTTGAATACTCTCAACATGGTGATTCACTACCGCATGTTTCAGAGTCCTGGCCGACCAAAATAATAATAATTTTTGAATATTTAACATCCACCTAAACAGGGATGGTTTAACGTCTCATCCGAAGGATGGCACCTCTGATAATTCAGCAATCCCCTAGCACTGGAGTGCCAGCTGATACTGTGAGTTCAAAATCCCAACACAGAGGTTGTACCCACAACTTTCTGTCGTGAAAGACAGAGTGCTACCAAGTGAGCCAGACTTAGTTGGTTCATCCGAATCCATAAAATCTTGACACTACGTTCGATAGTTCTGATTTCATAATTGTTCACGTCAGGAATGCATACTCCTGACGTTAACAATTATGAAATCAGAACTATCGAACGTAGTGTCAAGATTTTAACACTAGCAGGATCTTTTCAATCATGATCATTTTCATACAATTAAACAAAGTAATATTCATTTTAAAAAAATACATTCATATTAGTTAATATTTTGGACAGCTACTGCTAATACCTTTGGTAATCTATGAAGACTGTTTTGTCAAGATTTGATTTCCTCCTTCCATCATATCCACTCTGTTCTCTTCCAATTAGATCGTCAAATACTTCCTTAAACGTGTCCAGTGACCTAGTCCCAACCACCCTTCCTGATAACTAGTTCCAGTTGCTGATCACCCTCTGTGTAAAAAAATACTCGCTTTCCAATCCTGAACAATCTTGTCTTGCTGCACGGACATCATGACAAACTCAAGGAATATTTCTGGGTTTGCTTTCTCCATCTCATTTAACATCTTATATAATTCTATTTGATCCTTTCTTAGGCACTTACTTACACAGCACTTACTTACACTAGTTGTTCTTCGTAGCTCAATGTTCCTAACACTGGGTATGAATCTTTTACCATAACTTACTTTCTTTGCTCATCTGAGAGAAGAAAATGGCCCTTCTGATACTGCATCCCATTAAAATATATCTACTATTCAGGAAGCCAGGTACCTGAAAAACTGAACCAGCTTTCACAATGCATGAAATAATCACATTACCAATAACACAAATGAAAGGCTTTTACTATTTACCTTTAAGTAGCAGATGAATATGAAGCAAAGGGGTCCGAAGTACTGCACCACCAGGAGGCATGTGGTGTATGCCAGCCTTTGGTTTTCCGATGGCCACTGATCCAGACACACGTACTTTCCAGCGAAATTCTCCCAATAGTTGGGCACATTTTGGAGAGGCTCGTCAGTCAAAACTTGGAAAAGTAGGAATGGCAGAGATGCGAGCAGTGCCAGCACCCACATGGTGGCAATGCTCACATACGCATGCTTGTTGTTGGGTCTCCAGCCACGGGGATTTATTATCAACTGGTGGCGTTCGATGGCAATCAGCACCAAGGAGAAGACAGAGACTGTAATGGAGATACACTGGATCATGGAGTTCATCTTACACATGGCCTTGCCAAAGACCCAATGATCCATGAAGGTGTAGACAAATGTAAAAGGCAAGCACATGAGAGTAATGAGCAGATCAGAGATGGACAGGTTGACGATGAGAATGTTGGTGACATTGTGCATTTCCTTCTGTTTCATGATAATGGTGATCAACATCAGGTTACCAGAGACTCCCAGAATGATGACAGCACTGTAAGCCAAGGCTAATGTGAAAATCACGGCAGTGGGAGCTTGGCAGGGTTCATATTTGTCGAAGTCTAAGAAAGTAAAATTACTTATAGAGAAATTCAAGCGGACGGAAAGGTTTCCAGCATTAACCCAAGGTGTCCTATCCATTGTCCCAAGTCTCTCTTCACCAAGTAAAGTGATTGGAGAATCACAAGGTTTTTGGTCCTCCTCTTTCCTGGGATAAAATGGATTGGTCAATAAACTGTTTTTCTCACGTTTCACCTTATGCCGAGTCCCACAGAGAATGCTGTGCTGATCACAACTGCTGCTGTCCTTTCTGGGAGATCTTCCTATCACGGAAACAAAATGTTGCCATAATGCTATGAGTAAAATTTCTACAAATAACAATTGGCTGTGAAAAAAATAACCGCAAATAAACAAACCGGCAAAAGATTGTGCAAAATCCAGTCATTGAGTCATCTAACATTCTGCTTTAGATTTTGGTACAACAACTTGCATTTATATAGCGGATTTCAGATAGGATAACCTCTCCCAGCTCTTTGTCGGGATGGGGTTAGAATGCCAAGCAAGACAGGAAAGGAAAGGTGGAGGTGCCTGTGGGTGCAAGACAACAGATAGCTGTATTGGTGGGATTTAAAGAGAGGTAGAAGGAAGCGAGGTGGAGGGAGAGAGTTCCAGAGGTTAGGGGCATAATTTCTGGCCACAACAGTTAGAATCAAAATTGCACCTATCATATTTCTGTATTGACTTTTTTTTCATATTCCATTCACAGAACTGGATTTTCACATTCTCAGAGACAGGTAGAGATTTTGCTGAGTTACAAAACGCTTGCAGAATGACAATCTGTGAAATTATAGATGAGAGAAACACTTGCAATTCCAATAAAACAATACATCTTCTGGGAAAGGAAATTTGATTTGAAGACATTTTAAGATATAGGAGGTAAAGCAATATAGGAGGTAATGGCTCCTGTGAGACGCATATGCATAATGGGCCAAATGGCTGCTGACAGCAGAGTATTTAATAATTATTCTTGTATTTGGTATAGTAGCTATAGTGTCATAATATCTCAGAGTGCTTCATAAGTAATTGCTGTGAAGTATAGTGACTGTGTATAGGTAAGCAAACAGCGAGTTGTTTGGATCTGGAATGCATTTCCTGAAAGGGTGGTGGAAGCCGATTCGATAACAATTTTTAAGAGAGTAGTAGATAATTATTGGGCCGGACAAGTTTGCAGGGTTATGGGGAGAGAGCGGGGAGTGGGATTGATTTGGTTAGTTCTTTTCAAAGAGCTGGCACAGAAATGGTGGGCTGAATGGCCACCTTACATGCTGTAAGATTCTATGATTCTATGTCATCCAATTAGCGCACAACAATATCCCCAAAACAGCCATGAAGTGAATGAACAATATAATCTGGAGGATTGTTGCCCAGGTCACTGCGAGAAATTCTTTTCTTTTCAAATAGAGTCATGGGATCTTTAAAATCCATCTGCTCAGGCAACACCTAGAATACTGCATACAATTTGGGTCCCTGTGACATATAGTGCCTGAATCCTAGAAGCAGTATAAAGAAGAACAAGTCTGATACACCATGTTAGAGGAATGAGTTACAACCAACAATTTGATAATTTAGGGAGTCTCAAAAACAGATGTCCTGGAGAGAACTTTATGGAGCTATATATGATGTCAAATGGGATATAGAAAACAAACCTACAAAAACAATAAGCTGGGCTTTTTGCTAAATCAATTGAGTTGAGATCCCCAGATGTCATTCTCAGGCTATAGAGTGTTGTGGTCAGACCGCCAGACACGGATGGATAGACAGACACATTAACATCTCATCCGAAGGATGGCACAACCGACAATTCAATTCTCCCTCAGAACTATAATGTACCGTCAGCCTCGGCTGTGAGCTCAAAGACCTGGCATGAGTCCTGTAGGTTAGTGGTTGGAGCACTCGCTTCACAAGCAAGAGGACCATTGTTTGATTCCTGGCAGGGCGAAACGTTGGAGAAGAATCCTTACTTACTAGCGGTAAGTAGGAACCCGGTTGTGAAACAAATGAAGGATTGCTTTTCTGTGAGCAATATTCCCTTCAAAATAAATAATAATAATTTGGTCACTCAATCCATGACTGTTTATGGGACATTGCTGTGTGCAATTGGCTGCCGCGTTTTGCCCACAAAATATATACAGTCAATTCACATTACACTATATTCTATGAAGTGCTTTGGGACATCTCAAAGACCTGATAAGGCGCTCTATTAAATTCAAGAATTATTATTATTATTAAACTCACAGTTCACTGACTCAGAGGCGAGAGTGCTACTAACTAAGCCAAACTGTCACCTTTTCTGTGGAACTTTAACCTGTTGACTGCTGGTGAGTTCATTTTTAAAGACTATTCAGCCTATTCTCAACAGGATTCACTAGATTACCCACAATTAAAGAATGCATAACTCACAACCATAAGGATAAGTAAGATTATAAAATGACAAGGTTGGCCAGGTTGTAAAAGATTGTCCTGAATATCCAGCCTGCTATCTTTCATTTACGGCATTTGCCCACATTAAACAGTCCATCTGCTTTACAGTATATCCTGTAAAGCACTTAGAGATCTCTCGAAGACGTGATAAGGTGCTTATATCAAATGCAAGGATTATTATTATTATTAAGCTGTTTTTTTAATGAGTCCATCAGTGTGAATCATCCTTCCTGGTAATCATTTTCAGCTTTTGACCAGCTTCTGTGCAAAACAAAATCCCGTCACAATCCTAAACCTGTTCTGCTGACTTGGTGTATCTCAACGATTGACAATATTACAAGATTGGTCTGGATAAAAAAGGCCCTGATCTCAACCCTCCAGATCACCCACACTGGACTCCCCACATCACTGCAACAAGCTGCTTCAAAATCAATCTCGTGTCCTGATCTCTACCACCTTTCCTGGCAAACTGTTTTTGTTGTTGATTATCCTCTGCGTAAAGGAATACTTCCTGCTGCTATCTAGTCCGAAATTTCCCTTTACACCTTTAAACCTATGTCCTCTTGTTCTACTGTTATGATACATCCTAAAGTATTGATTTGGATTTACTGTTTCAATCCCATTTAAAATGTTGCACACCTCTATGCATTCCCCTCTGAGTTGTCTTCTCTCAAGACTGAAGAGCCCTAACTTGTCTAATCATTGGTCAAAGCTCATTCCTCTATCATTGGGTATCATCCTCATTGCTCTCTTCTTCATTGCCTCTAGGGCCTATACAGCCCTCTTGTGTCACAGTGATTAGAACTGTATGCAGTATTCGAGACTGACCAGAGCACTATACAGCCTGAGAATGACATCTGGGGAATTCAAATCAATTGATTTAGCAATACAGCCCAGCATCCTGTTTGCCTTGTTTTTATTTTTGCCTTGGATTTGCTTTCTCTATCCCATTTGCAGGGATTTAATAATAAACGATTTAATAAATCCCTTCAAAAAAACAAACAAGAAAAATAATAATTTGGTCACTCAATCCTTGACTGTTTGTGGAACACTGCTGTGCGCAATTGGCTGCCGCGTTTCGCCCACAACATATACGGTCAATTTAATTCACAGTATATTCTGTGAAGCGCTTTGAGACATCTCGAAGACGTGATAAGGCGCTGTATCAAATGCAAGGGTTATTATGATTATTGACAACATATATTGCTCTATAAGGTTCTCTCTGGACCAAAATTGTATGCAGTATTGCTCTGCCAATATCAAGTGCTCTGGGACACTGCCCTGAGTGAGTAAGTGCAAGTTGTTGTATTGCCTAAGCAGAGCAAGGATAGTTTGACCATAACTTCTAGGGATTTGAGTCTTTATATTTTCCATGTTCTTCTTCCTAAGACCCTTGTCTTAAAATTTAAGACCATGAAAAATATGGAAAACAATTTTAAATTTTGTCTTAATTTGGAAGCTGATTTTCCACACTTCTTTTTGAAACTGCAAAATTGTAGATTTTCGGCCCCAGGCGAAGACTGATGTTACGCCTGTTTAGCTTAGAATGATCATTAACTCTAAGAAATAGTTTTGCAAGTCTTAATAAGAGGAATGTTGGGCCCCAGAAGTCCTATCAGATATGCTTTTTTTATTAAAGTACATTTGTATTAGCTTCTTGAATGCAGCACCAAAAATGTTACTTTCACCTATCCAGGCTGTCTGATGAATTTCTTTCTTCAGTCATTTGTAACGAGAGCTCTGCAAAATGCTGTAGCTTTGCAAGATTTCTTAGTCACCAAAGCGATAAAATGCCCATAGGCACTTGTTCAATGCTGTCATTCCATGGAGTGGTTACAATGTAAAAGAAGGAATACCTTGAAGGACGATCATGTTGTATTCAATCTCCTTCACACACAGATACATTACCTTTACTTTCTCTATCCCTTATCTGTCATAACAAGAGACTCAATACAAAAACGTGGACACTGAAAATCTGAAATAAAAACAGCAAATGCTGGAAATTCATAACAGATCAGCCAGGATTGAAAGGGACAGTTACAGATGTAACAATAGCTTGATTTTCTCTTTCACATACTGACCACCCCACCCCCAACCACCATCACCACAAGGATCACTCAGTGCACACACATTGCATTCTTTTTTTTAAATAACAAAAATAACAAAATGAAATGAAGTGTTAATATTTCAAAGAATGATTTATTAAATTGTACCATTGGATCAATCATTTGCCAAAGCTTCAAAGCTTAATTCTGCAATAATGCATACTAGCATGGGTTCATTACTGTTGTTGACAATGTGGTAGCTTGGAACTTGTTAATACTTTTCGCTTCTGCACCATCTTATTTGCATCTGTATGAGTTCCCCTGCTGCTCTACAAAATTGTGGATAGAATGATAGCAACCCTGTGTGCACAGCCAGTATAATGGGAAACCACCATAACTTGCTTCATTGCACTCAACCTGAGATGTTGCTTTCATGTCAGTACCCAAGTATGAGAGAGACTCTATCTTGTAGGTCAAAAGCTCATAGTGAAGGTGAATCAGATGATTTACGGGAAATATTGGGTAGAGTATTCATTATTATTACTGTTGTAAGTAGACACCGTTATACTAACTTTGGATGATTTCTGCCTTTATTGTCTTGCTGGAATAGTGCAA